TTGATATATCTATATTAAAGCGTTTTTGAGATATTAATTAAAAACTTGGAAAATATTTCAAATATTTTACTTCAAAATTTCATCAGAAAAACTAACTCGCAATTTATAATTAAAAAAATATATTAAAAATACTTCTTACTTGATTAAAACTGCAAGAAACATGTTAAAATATTAAAATATACTTTAATAATAATTTTGTGTAAAAAGAAAATGCGATCATTTTTGTCCAGAAAATCCAAAATAAATTTGAAGTACTTTAAGTGGTTAAGATATCACAAGCAGGTACATTATTAAAAAATGTAATACTTTTGTTCATTGCTTTTCGAAGATCATAACAAGAAACATGTGGATACAGTGGCAGCACAAGAAGATTTTGCCATGGCTTCAACAAAAAAATCAAATCTGCCCCCCATGATTGATAGCCGATTTACGGAAAAGGATCTCAACGACATCTTTACTTTTGAATTTGAAAAGCCCAAATTTGGGCTTTTGGGAAAAGCAAAGAAGAAGTCGGCAATGTGCAAGGTGGAAAAGGAAGTGAATGGCGAGCTCAAACCATGTAGCTTCAAGACAAGTGAAGCAAGTACCATGAAAAGTTTCAACTTTTGGCGGCAGGTAAAACATAACCATCCTGAAAACTATGCGGATCTGGTTACAAAAAGGGACCAGAAAGAAGAGGCAAAACAGAAAGCTGACGCAGCTTAACGACGTTCATCTGGCTCTTTGAAAACTCCTGGAGAAAAGATTTTTTGCGGCGCTTCATCTGAAAAGAAACCTAAAATTGAGTAAACAAAACTTGACTCATATTTTAAGTCCTCAAAGGTTACAGTCACCATGGATGCCAATACTTTCCGTGAAGGGCTGATGGAAATGGTTTGCTTGAGTTCAACACTGCTCACAACCTTCAGGCTAAAGAACAAAGGATTCCAAAAAATTGCAGGTGAAATGGGTTGGCAGCTTGGCGTTTCGATGGGGCACAATGCGGTTCGTCATTTAGTTGTCAGCACAGATGAGTCTGGTCGCGAAGAGCTTAAGAAAGCTTTGGAGCAAAAATTGTGCTATCTGAAAATGGATGCGGCAACCCATGGAAACAGAAATTTCCTTGCAATCAATGCTCAGTGCTACGAAGAAGGAAAAGATAAAGCTGTGGTAAAAACCTTGGCCATAATCGACACTGAAGGGCATCACAATTCTTCGTACGTGAAAAGTCAAGTAAAAGCTATTTTAGAAAAATTGGGGATCAGTGAAATGCAAGTGCTGAGCATCTGCATTGACAATGCAGCAAACATGACGTGTTCCGTCAAAAATTTCAGCAAGGACAATGAAACCATTTCTACCTCTGAGAACAGGGATGTGGACAGAACTGAAGCTATTTTGCCTGATGAAGGAACTAAAGGAATGGATGAAATCGAACTCAACATGGATGCTGCTGTGCAATGGGTTAATGACCCTAACCTCATACTTCCAATATGGCTTCATGACGATGACTCAAAAGTCCAACTGATGAGGTGTGGTATTCACACTCTTCAGGTGGCAATCTGGGATGGACTGAACAAAGAACATGCGAATTAATTTCTGGCAAAAATTCGACAAGTTGTTGTCAAACTACAAATCCCAAGTATTTGAAGTGTTCTGCTTGATCTACATGGGGTAACTCAATCATTGGATACTGTGACTCGCTGTGGTTCAACATTTGCGATGATTAATTGGCTTCTCGTTTTCAATCTTACTGTGAACAAGTGGCTCAAGTTAACAAAAGCTGAATGGGATGAAGTGAAGAACCTGTGAGACCTCTTGGCAAAGCGAAACCAAACAACCATGAATCTTCAGGCTGTCGATGTAACCCCGGAAGTTTTAATGAAGGAATGGCAAAAACTGTCACAATTCTTGCAATAAAATGGTGGACAATTTGCAGAAGGAATTCTATCCTCCATGCAGAAACATGAAGAGAAGCTTTTTGACAATATTCATTTCCTTGCTAGAGTTTATGTTGACCCATGGTATCGGATTCTTCTTACCTCAAAGGACATACCAAAGGCAAAGAAAGGTCTCCTTAATATTGCTCGACAACTCGAAAAACAAAATCTATTGCTACATTTGAACTCGGCGAAAGAGGTTGAAGAAAACAAAACACAACCAAAGGAGTCATCAACAATCAAATTTGCGGTTTTGGAAAGTTCACATCCTTCAGAAATAGCAGGCTGTTCTCAAACTTCCGTCTCCACTCTGACCTTGTTCGAGCGTCCATCCCTGAGACGTCTTCAACCATCACGGGGAAATGGAAATAATTCAAGCATCAATTCTTCAGAAGATGACAACTTCAAAAAGGAATTAGATAAACAAGAAAGATGCCGGCAAGTTTCTGCGATTCATAATTGTAATGAAGCATTATTCAAGAAAAACTTTCAGGAAGATTGTGAGGCGATGGAGTCTATTGGTAGGCTAAAAGTTAAGTCTGTTTTTGAGGCCATTCACAGCTACCCACACCGCATTCAGGCTGCTTGTAGAATTGCTTTGAGCATGCCAACAACTCAAGCTAGTGTAGAGCGACTGTTTTTGGCTTTAAAGTTAATTTTAAATGATTTGTGGCAGGCTATGAAAGACGAATTGATTGCTGCAATAATTTTTTACAGAATGAATTATGAATGATTCTAGTTTGTATCATTGTTGATGACATTTAAATTGTTTTAAGAGTCTGAATAAAAATAATGTTTTTTCAAAATTACAGTATGCACTTTTTTATTTAGTTAAAAATTAATTTGAGTCAGAGCGCAGAGCAGAGCTGGAGCAGTCATTATTGGTGCAGGAGCAGAGCTGGACCGAAGCAATTCAAAAATTTGATTGTTCCAAACCCCTGACTTTTATTGTACAAAATTATATATCAAGCATACAGTGTACCTGAAACATTAACTGAGAACTAGTTTATGCCTTTCAGCTAGCAAAAGTAACACTACTGTCAATATTAAAGCATAGAGAATAGGCCCCATTCCCATTTAAACTAAGTCCCCTCACTTTGAGTGTAAGGGTTGTGTATCCTTTACCACGGTGATGTAAAGTGGCCTTAATGTAAATAAGAATCAGGCTCAATAAATAAATCTCAGGGTTAATAGTCATATTTTTTTTTCTTTAGAATAGTACAACCTGCCCATTGCTCGCTATCTTATTTTATCAGGTACATGGTATGTATATGGAAAATGAAATAGTTACTAAGAGGGCAAAGACAAAAAAAAGTGTCAGGCAAAAGAATAAGGTAACTTTTTCCCCAGTGCTGCAAACTGGTCCATAGAAATGGACTCTTACACAGAGTGGTTGCCCCTTCTTCCCCCTTCCACCCTCCAATGCATTTAAAGGATGTTCTATGAGCACTGGGGTCTGCTTACAGGATCAGTGCGCTTTTGTTGATACTAACACCGAGGGAAGCCTCCACAAACATGTCACTAACTTTCTGAAATTAAAATTGAGGTTTTGCTTGTTGTGGGCCACTTAAGCCATTTGAGAGTTATTAAAACAAGAAAGAAACAGGTTTCCACTATTAAAGAAACTTTACAAACAATTGGTGGCACTCAGATAATACTTACAGACATAACCGCTTAGCTGGTGGTGGGGGTAATTCTTCATTCTTGTCTTCAACTCCAAATCTACATCCAGACAGCCAAAGTGACTTCAGTGTAGGAAAACTCTTTACAAAGAATGAAATAACCATTTGATCCATTTGGGTTAAGGAATAATTACTTATATCTATTTCAGTGAAATGATCCAAAGCACTTTTCACAAAACTTTCTTCTTGGATCTCGTACATACAGTGAAACTCTTCAAGTTTGTAAATCAGCTCATCGTGTGAAGAGGAAAACGACAAATTTTTTTGTTTTGTTTTTACCCTCTTCAGTAAATCTGGCTTTATATTAGGTGAAATCTTCAAGCCAATTTTTTTCTTCGTGTCCTTCATTGTCTTTTCATTTAAGAGACCAAACAGAAATCGCACTGTTAACATTAAATAATTTCCAGATTTTCCATAGTTTTCTAACAATAGTTTTGCATCTCTGTTGGGAGTCACTGAACATTTCATTTGTTCATCTTCCTCTAGTACATAAAACAAAGCAGCAAAAAACTCTTGGAAGCTTAAGTGAATGAAGCTGTAGACACTTACACAATCAATGTCTCTTTTAACAACACTCTCATTCAGAAAGAGGGGGAGAGAGTAGAATTCATCTAAACTGTACTCCTTTATTTCTTCCTCCCCAAACAGTATTTTCTGTTTCCAAATTCCATCTGCAGCCAAGGAACAAAGTTTCTTCAGATTATCTTGCATGTTTTGGTTTGGACTGTGGCTGTGTGGCTCTAATAAACTGTATAAGAAAAGCACATACACAGCAGTGAGTGTTTTTGAATTTTGTGCAAAATCTTTACCTGCCTCCAGCTGTTGTATCATAACAGTGCAGGTGATACAACACACAATGGGGACAAAGCACATGGTGAAAAGCATCTCATTTTGTTTCACAAAGTCAAAGGCTATTGTTGCATCAATATCCCCAAAGAACTTGTGGAAATATTCCTTCCTGTCCTCTTCAGAAAATCCCAGGATCTCTGCATAACGTGAACACTCCAAACACTGCCCAAGTTTCTCCAGAGCAGTGGGTATCGTAGTGACCATTAAGTAGGATTTAGGAAGTAGCTTTTTCCTAAATAAACTGCTCAGTGCATCTTCCATTGGCATCTCCTTCCAGGGATCTGTGCACAGACTATCTTCCTTTCGATCAAAGGAAAACCTCAGTTCATCAAAACCATCAATCACGAAGAGAAGTTTTTCTTGATTTAACAAAATCTCATTAATTGGTACATTTTTGTCAGGGCAATTTTTCCTAATCCAGTCAACCACTGTTCCTTGCTTACTCCCATAGTTTATTTCTCTACAATTTATGTAGAAAATGTATGCAAATCTGTTCTCATAAACTTCTCCAGAAGCCCAGTATAACATGATCTTTTTTGCAGTCATTTTTCAGAGTAGCAGCCGTGTTAGTCTGTATCTGTAAAAACAAACAGGAGTACTTGTGGCACCTTAGAGACTAACAAATTTATTAGAGCATAAGCTTTCGTGGGCTAGAACCCACTTCTTCATATGCATCCGAAGAAGTGGCCCACGAAAGCTTATGCTCTAATAAATTTGTTAGTCTCTAAGGTGCCACAAGTACTCCTGTTCGTTTTTTGCAGTCATTGTTTTCCCAATGCCTGCTGCTCCCTGCCGAACAACGATTTGTGGTGTTTGTCCATGTTCAGGATCAAATAAGGAGTTTATGGTTACAGAAGAGCGAGCTCGTTCAGTCATGATTTTTGCATGTCTCCATCTGGAGGCCATTATTTCATGTTCTCTCTCCTTTTTGCAATGAAGCTTGCTTATAATAGTCAGTTTTGTATACCTTTTGCTTAGATTCACAGTCTCACCAAGACGAGAGTTCCTTTCTTTTATTAACTGGTACTGTTTTTTAATATGTTCTTTATACTTCACCCTGTAATCTAAATCAGTGACAAGTAGTATTACAGACAATGAACTAAAAGCTGAGAGAAAAATATTAATTTGTTAAAATTAAGCTATTTAAACAATAACAATAATAGTATATAAAATGTATAAAGTACCTTTTATCCTAAAGGATCTCAAATCACTTAACTATGTTCCAGATTTTGCAGCCCTAATTTAAAACTATACATGTGCATATACAAGTGTTTTGCTGAATTGGGGCCATATACAAGAATCCTTTCAACTTACAACTGAAATGCAGCCACCTCTAGGGTGAAACCTGTCAATCAGCAGTGTGTGTAACAACCCCCATATTATGCACCATCAGCAGGTTCTGAAACCTGAGCCTTTTGCACTGCAGCACAGATGCAAGTCATGTGATTAGGACTCCTTCTATGTGAACTCATTAAAACATAAGCTCCTGCCTTCACACTTTTTGGGGGTAGGAAAGGGAAAGTCTCACACACAAGCAAGCATAAGGGAAGGCCCATGGAGGTGCAAAATCAGGCCATTCTGAGTTCTAGTCCTCACTCTTCTACAGACTGCTGTTAGTATGTCTATGCACTGCACAACCCAGGCTTCATATTGCTACCTTAGGGAAGGTATGAATCATTCCCTGACTTTACAGATAAGACACCCAAGAGCTTGCACAAGGCCACTTCAAGAAAGACTAGCCATAGAAACCAGCTATCCAATATCATAGATCCAAGTCTCATCCACTTTGTCACAGTGACTTCCAGAAGAATGTAGCCAAGTTATGTGTTTGCGTAACAGGATAGCTCTGTATCACCTTCATAGTGGTGAGACCATATGTAGAGATTTATGAGTACTACTACCGTCATGTAAAGAAGATTGACCCTTTAACTGAAGTGAGGAAGGTTCAGACATTTATCTATCTAAAGGTCTGGTGTTCAATCCCCACAGATGACCACCATGGTATTACACTTGGTGATGCTGTCTGTAACTATTAGGCAACACGGTACTCACAGAGCCAGGAAAAGAAACCAGGACCACAGATGCCCATCACTTCAATGCTGTCTCAAATTCTGTAACCAAGTGACAATGTGTGCATTTTCCTCCATGCATGGGCTTATCCACACAGAGGATAACAGCATGCTTTTCCACTGCCAGTTACTCCTAGGGCAAACGTTGAAGTATAGAAGCATAGGACTGGAAGGGACCTCAAGAGGTCATCTAGTCCAGTCCCCTGCACTCATGGCAGGACCAAGCACCATCTAGACCATCCCTGACAGGCATTTGTCTAACCTGCCCTTAAAGATATCCAATGATGAAGATTCCACCTCCTTAGGCAATTTATTGCAGTGCTTAACTACCCTGACAGTTAGGAAGTTTTTCCTAATGTCCAACCTAAACCTCCCTT